AGCAGTATAAAAACCGGAATGTCCAACTGATAAGGCTGAACATTTTTTCACTTGTTATTTACAGTAAGATAAATACATTCACCAACTTTTATTAAAATAAAACCATTTAAACTGGGTGTTCGGATTTATATGTCACTTAGTATATGATTGGCAGAAGTCAGCTATACATATAAAACTATTTGTACACTTTGGCATCTTTTGTCAACTAATGTGCAATAGTATCATAAGAGCACTAAACTGCATTAAATTGTTCCGTTATCCAAATAGTAATGATTCCAAGATCTTTCATCGAACAGGAAGCTGCTACCAGTTTTCTACCTTTAATGCTTATATCCAAAGCTGGGTGTGTCTTTTTTCAAAATGAGCGTGAATTTGAAGTCATCAAACATCATCATGAATGTCCAACTGGTTAGAAGTTGCTTTTAATACCGCCGAGACATCGAACTACGGCATACTAAAAAACATGTAGGTATATGGGAGGTACAATTTTTAATAAGCTCAAGCATGCCATTAGGAATGCGTCAAATATAGCTGTTTTCAAAAGAAAATTAAAACATTTTTGGTGGATGAGTGTTTCTGCACCTTGTAGGAATTTTATGTTTGGATTTATGGTTCATATATGTTTAATCCATCACAACTATATTTGATGACATTTTCATTTGTTATAGACTTTTCTGTTCTATTCAACCATGAAATAAATTATTATTATTTATTAAGCAGCAGCAAAACCGATCTCTAGGAAATACTCGCGTTGCCACTGTGGAATGAACCTTATGACGGATATTCTTACGACTCAAGAGAAAATTCCATTTGCTAATCTGGTGGATCATTTAAATAGCCGATTTGAAGCTTTCTAGTAGCATAATACATCAACATCATTTTCCCTGTATAGATCTGTGAAATCCTCGGTAATAGTACGTAATCGGTAATATATCAAACCACATTTTGATGGCGATGTAACATTAGCTCAAGGACGTATCCTATTTTCATCCAATAAAATGATGAGTTACCACGGTCGGCCTGGATAGCGTTTGTTTTCTTGTTGAAGTGTGTCGACGGGAAATCATCGAGTTCTGCTGTATCCACATTCCACACATGTGCCGAGCATTGTTGTTCTGACGACAAATGGGCAGAAAACTTATCAAAATACTCTTTTGGTGGACACAATAGAACAGCCTTGTCTGACTGATGAAACAAAAGATTGTTTTTCGTCTAAAATACACAATACAACGACTTGCTTGATGACGAAGGACGATATCGTTAAATGAGATTTTTTATATACCGGAGCAGCCATGTAGGCAAACACCTAAATACGGTGCACCGCGACTGCTATCAGGTAGTCACTTCGATTGTTTAACTGCCTAAGGTTGACAGAGCTAGAAAAAACCTCCCCAGACAGATTCTTATACAATCTTGACACCATGGCAACAAAGGAGCGGCTGTTCTACATGTACTAAGTTGGTCATAGTTGGGATGGAAGGCAGACGCCTGGCGAGTCTGTCTAACAAGCTCGACACCAAGAGCATCTGAGGAGCAAAGCCCGTTGACATAGCGGTAGAAGAGAGCAAGATCGCTGAGTGCCGATCAGTGTGATCAGCACCGAGCATGGATAATAAAAGTACTTATTTGCCCTAGCTCTTTCCTAGCGGCTATTGTGATTGGCGAAATGAAAAGGTGAAGTCGACTCCGACTAGCTGCAATGAATGGCTCTTTGGCAGAACTCAGCTCTCCGTCGGAACCAGATGAGCACTAGAATGCTTCATGTTAGACAAGGTACACTACTGTGCTTTGGAATCATTAAACTGTACCAGAAAGTCGCTGCTAGTACTCCTTTCTTCAGCGCATATTCTGCAGAGATCAGCCTGCCACACTGAGTGCCTGCGAGTAGATTGCTGACATCGGCAAAGCTGTAATGGCGAGGAGCTCGTTGATATGTAATAGGAACCATATTGAGGGAAAGACCGATGCCTGGGAAGCACTAGCGTTGATAATATATAAAATAATGAAAATAGCCGCAAATCTACAAAGCTAGAGGCTATAGGATGGGAGCCTTCATAAAAATGCAGCATGCCACAGCCGAAAGCATTCATGATATGAAGAGCAACAACGTGAGCCTCGTCATAAGACTGGAGGAGTTGACTTCACAGTTGTGTAGCGAAAGCTAGGATATCTCCCGTTGATCACTGGTACCGGAAATCGTACTGCCTGACACTTACCGTGATGTTGAAGGTACTCTAGAAGCTCCATATTTATGCACATCTCCATCACCTTGGAGATCACAGAAAGCAGAGCTAAGGTCTGTAGTTCTGAGGTTCTGAGGGTCGGTCTGAGAACCTTTTTTGATACGGACTCTGGACATGGAGATCACAGAAGGCAGAGCTAAGGTCTGTAGTTCTGAGGGTCGGTCTGAGAACCTTTTTTGATACGGACTCTGGACATGCAGAAATTTCCAATTTTCTGGTAAAGGGTCAGATTAGTAAGATATCTCTAAGAGACGTGAAAGCACTGGAACACGCTCCTCTGCTTATCTCTTCAATACAATAACAGGAATAAAGTCAAGACCAAAAGTTCTATTGATGTTGGTTCCTTTGCAAATAAATGTCGTTTTAGTGCAGTTCTGAAAACTTAATACGTAGAATGTACCAAAGGGTATTTTTACTGAAGCAACCATGAAGGCAGAGCAGAGCACTTTGACTGGTTTAAAATTGCCAAAAATATCGGAATGGAGCGATTTTTATCTGCATAGGCAGTGAACTGGGAAAACTTGCCTATATGAATTTTTCTGCAAGAGAAGCAAAGTTCTCGATAAACAAATTTTGACAGAATTAGGAAGACAAGCAGAACCGTGTCGGGTCCTATGACACGATGGAAATAACAACCAAAACTGTTTTAGCTACTGAAGTGCAGCCATAAAATCCATATATTGGAAAACAGTATCCACAGATTGTGGAAGATACAAAGAACTGAAGCCTCTCATTGCACGAGATAGAGTGCCGTATCTCAACAACTCCTATATTACTTTCTATATTGGAATGGATAAAAAATCCATTCAGCAGAAATTAAATACCCCGTGGAGCTCACCGGTGATCCGCACATTGAAGCGGAACATTAACGATACAGGGGCATTTTCAAAAGTTTGCGGCAAAATGCTTTTGCAGCGAAATATATTTTGTGGTATGATATTTTTTAATATCTGGATATCGGAAAAATAGTTTATTACATACCTTTGCGCCTCAGTTGATACAAGTTCTGGCCCAAAAGTGGCATTCTCCGCCAAGGTACGAGTAGAATTTGTTTCACACTTAGCATTATATAACACAAGATATTTGACCTTAGATCACCGCGGTCATGACGTTTCCAACTCAATTTACAAATATATTGAAATTCCGCTAACAGACGGTTTGGTGTGGACTGTGAGTAAGGTACAAATGTCTCCTTTTTGTTAAAATTAGAAGCCGTTTCCAAATATTATGTTATTAGGGTATTCATGGGGCGTTATATTAGAAATACCCTATTTCCTAATCGTTTCAAAGTATTTCGAAATATAACGTTCAATTGTCAAACTGCCAGTGAAGTTGGCAGGATACAATTTCAAATGACATTATTATTTACATATGCTTTTTTATTTCATTATTTGCCTCGGAAGAGAAATGCTACGCTTCATTGCTACTTCTCAATGAGGCGTTGAAGTCAATAATTGTGATTCCTGGACTTATGCCCATATTCACCGTCCCTTGAGAAGTACGATTAATGACATCCACATTATTGCCGCGTTTTCATATGCACCGATACATTTAACACCTGCTAATCGCCTTTAGGCGTAATCCTAGCGTATTGACAGTTTAATCCGAAAATTGACCGATTGGGGTTCTAACCTTATTTGGAGTTGTTGATGTCTTTGCGACAAAGTGCTTTTTTGCAAAATTAATGCAGATCGAAGATGAGATTTCCCTTGACGACGATGGTGACATTCTAGATATTATTCGCTTCGGATTTCCAAGACACAATTATGAACGTACAGACTTTTTTAACGAGATGGACGACCTATCGTTTTTCAGGAGATTTCGGCTCCAAAAAAATACTGTCCTCAGATTGGTAGAACAACTAAAGCATCAACTCGAGTTTGATAACAGCTTGTAAGTATTTTTTACCAAATATTAAATTACGATAGTCTATTTTCTTGGCCAGAATTGAAGTTTAAACCAGAACGTCTTTACACACCTTTTCCTCTGGCTGTGGATCTGAATCACATTAGTTATTTCCAAGATTTCAGTCACTATAAAATTTTTGTTTTTCCAGGTATAATAGTATGTCGCCCATTAATCAGCTCCTTACATGCCTACGATTTTATGCCTGCAATGCATATTAAAATTGAATTGGATACTTTATTAGCATACATCAGACAACAGCATCCCGTATAATTGCAAAAGTTTTAAAAGCAATAGCAGGTTTATAAAATAACAATATATCAGAATGCCCAATGACGCTGATGAAATAATAAGAGTTCAGAATGGCTTCTATAGGATCTGTAGATTTCCACGAGTCATTGGATGCATTGACGGGACGCACATAAAGATGCAATCACCAGGAGCTCAAGATGGAGAAGTTTTTCGTAATAGAAAGTCATATTTTTCTATAAATACTGAAATAGTAGCTGAGCCAGATTTGAAAATACTTGATATTGTTGCTCGGTGGCCAGGATCTACCCATGATTCAACTATTTTCAAAGCCTCCCACCTAAGAACACGCATTGAAGGGAGACAATTTCGGAACGCAGTGCTCATGGGAGATAGTGGTTACCAGCTGAACGTCTACCTAATAACACCTCTACAAAATCCAGACAATGTTGTCGAAAATCTTTATAATGAAGCTCATGTGCAATGTAGTAGAAACATGAATTGGTGTTTGGAAACTTCGGTTCCCAGTATTATCCTATGGTAGTCGGTGTCGATTAGATAACGCTTTAACTACAATTGTTGCCACTGCTGTGATAGCAAAATATGGCCATGAATATGCTAGAGGATTTGCCTCCCTATCCAAAAGAACTCAATGGCCAAGAGCGGGATTACCTACTTTTACAAGGAGACATTCCTCATGTACATGCAGCGAATGTTGGTCAAGACCCATTTAATTTTCGCCAAAATCTGATAGATAACTATTTTAGTTATTTATAAAACATCTGGATAATAAACCCACAATTCTTGAAAAAACTACGTACTTTTTTAAACTTTGCTACAGTATCTTTATTGCATTGAAAAAAAAGTACACTTCATAACAGGCATCGCTCCACCTCCAGTTAAAAATCTTTGGTTTTTCTCCTCACCTATTTTCCTTCTTAATTCTCTTTTCTTATATTCATACAACATTATCAATGACTCGGCTTTTCTGTATGTAGTAGAGGGAGAAGAAGAGTTAAATTCTTTTTCAATTTGGTTCCAAGCACTGCTTTAGAGGCTCTGTCGGCCTTTTTGTCCTCTAATATTTTCGCATAGCCGCGCACTTTTGCATTAAATGAATGCATCTTTTTATTAGCAGTAAAATTTGGTTTTCATTTCTTCTGATTCCTTTCCATTTTGATAACCCTCTTGAACATATAGAAACTGTCACATTTTAAAATGTTTTGCCGCGTTTTCATATGCACCGATACATTTAGCACCTGCTAATCGCCTTTAGGCGTAATCCTAGCGTATTGACAGTTTAATCCGAAAATTGACCGATTGGGGTTCTAACCTTATTTGGAGTTGTTGATGTCTTTGCGACAAAGTGCTTTTTTGCAAAATTAATGCAGATCGAAGATGAGATTTCCCTTGACGACGATGGTGACATTCTAGATATTATTCGCTTCGGATTTCCAAGACACTATTATGAACGTACAGACTTTTTTAACGAGATGGACAACCTATCGTTTTTCAGGAGATTTCGGCTCCAAAAAAATACTGTCCTCAGATTGGTAGAACAACTAAAGCATCAACTCGAGTTTGATAACAGCTTGTAAGTATTTTTTACCAAATATTAAATTACGATAGTCTATTTTCTTGGCCAGAATTGAAGTTTAAACCAGAACGTCTTTACACACCTTTTCCTCTGGCTGTGCATCTGAATCACATTAGTTATTTCCAAGATTTCAGTCACTATAAAATTTTTGTTTTTCCAGGTATAATAGTATGTCGCCCATTAATCAGCTCCTTACATGCCTACGATTTTATGCCTGCAATGCATATTAAAATTGAATTGGATACTTTATTAGCATACATCAGACAACAGCATCCCGTATAATTGCAAAACTTTTAAAAGCAATAGCAGGTTTATAAAATAACAATATATCAGAATGCCCAATGACGCTGATGAAATAATAAGAGTTCAGAATGGCTTCTATAGGATCTGTAGATTTCCACGAGTCATTGGATGCATTGACGGGACGCACATAAAGATGCAATCACCAGGAGCTCAAGATGGAGAAGTTTTTCGTAATAGAAAGTCATATTTTTCTATAAATACTGAAATAGTAGCTGAGCCAGATTTGAAAATATTTGATATTGTTGCTCGGTGGCCAGGATCTACCCATGATTCAACTATTTTCAAAGCCTCCCACCTAAGAACACGCATTGAAGGGAGACAATTTCAGAACGCAGTGCTCGTGGGAGATAGTGGTTACCAGCTGAACGTCTACCTAATAACACCTCTACAAAATCCAGACAATGTTGTCGAAAATCTTTATAATGAAGCTCATGTGCAATGTAGTAGAAACATGAATTGGTGTTTGGAAACTTCGGTTCCCAGTATTATCCTATGGTAGTCGGTGTCGATTAGATAACGCTTTAACTACAATTGTTGCCACTGCTGTGATAGCAAAATATGGCCATGAATATGCTAGAGGATTTGCCTCCCTATCCAAAAGAACTCAATGGCCAAGAGCGGGATTACCTACTTTTACAAGGAGACATTCCTCATGTACATGCAGCGAATGTTGGTCAAGACCCATTTAATTTTCGCCAAAATCTGATAGATAACTATTTTAGTTATTTATAAAACATCTGGATAATAAACACACAATTCTTGAAAAAACTACGTACTTTTTAAAACTTTGCTACAGTATCTTTATTGCATTGAAAAAAAAGTACACTTCATAACAGGCATCGCTCCACCTCCAGTTAAAAATCTTTGGTTTTTCTCCTCACCTATTTTCCTTCTTAATTCTCTTTTCTTATATTCATACAACATTATCAATGACTCGGCTTTTCTGTATGTAGTAGAGGGAGAAGAAGAGTTAAATTATTTTTCAATTTGGTTCCAAGCACTGCTTTAGAGGCTCTGTCGGCCTTTTTGTCCTCTAATATTTTCGCATAGCCGCGCACTTTTGCATTAAATGAATGCATCTTTTTATTAGCAGTAAAATTTGGTTTTCATTTCTTCTGATTCCTTTCCATTTTGATAACCCTCTTGAACATATAGAAACTGTCACATTTTAAAATGTTTTGCCAGAATCTACAAATTTGCTATATTGCCACGTTTTGATCAACGAGTAGGTGATCACGATTAGAAAATGGGCCGTGCATCATATTCGAATCTGCCGATCCTGATCCGGATTCCTCAATCTGGATTAACGTGTCAAACGATGCATATGGGCATTAGTAGTGAAAAAATACATTTGGCATATTTTTTAGATGCGCATACCAAGCTGTTTTGTGAATATATTGACTGCTTCTATTATAAATTATTTCTGCTTTATCTGATACACTGGTTTCAACGGCCTCCTTTGCTTGTCGATCAAGTTGTCAGTGACCCATCGCCAAGCACCAGTTACTGTTTTTAGTGAAGACACTAAGAATTGCCAAACGGCAACCTAATACTATTATCCCGTTATGAGTTGGCAACACTTGAGTATCAGTATTGCCTGTCCGCTATCCGTAACACCCCTACTGACAATTTCCTTTACAGCTGGAGCTATGCCAGCTAATTTGAACTTCGTTACGTTGGCATATTTAGATGTGCCAGATAAAATGTTGATAACACTATTTCACTACCCATGCCACCGGCAAGCCGGTATTGTTAAGTTTTTTGGACGTTCTATGACATCTACATCCCGAAAAGTCGTGTCGCTCATTTCCGTCAGTCTGTTTGTGGATATGATCCTTGGCCGGTCTATAACTTGGAAAGCACAGCTGAAATTTTGATGAAACACGGCAATTCTACGCACCTATTAGCACATACTTTGTAAAATTAACCATTTTTAACAGGTGGGCCTCGTATCGGTCGCGGTCGCACATCTACCAATAAACACAAACCAGTGTTTGCGCCTGACAGCTCACAGCAGGCACCCTGATGCTTGTAGCACGGCTGACTGTTGGTGTGGTTCAGTCCTTGCTAGACGGTAATCCATTTTTTTGTGTCATACATGCCCCTGACTAAATTCTCCCTCAGAGGGGTCACTTGTGCCAAGCGCTGCGTGGGATATGCAGAGTCAACCTACATGATGCCATTTTTTATGTTAGAAAGAGATAGAAGTCACATGAATAGCGAAACTCATACCGTGTTGCCTAACAATGCTGACCCGGCAATCTGCCACGTTGCCAGATGCTTATTGAAAATATTCGTTACGCTCAAATAATGGCTTTATTTTGAGCGTACACATTTTTGAATTGTGTCGAATCTGTTTAGGATTGATTCCCGGTTGGTCCCAACGGCACCCCTTTCAGCCTGCTGCTATCGCTTTTTAACATGTGTTAGTACACACTTCTCGAGCATCTCTCTCGTACACATTGAATTCAAGTCGTCATAGAAATTTGGTTTTCCCTGTATTTATACTGTTATTCTACGAATATGGCAAATAGACGGAGGATTATGCATATATTTGGTTTGTTTAATTCATTAGCTACTTCTTTATGTGTTGTACGTGACGCAAATCAATATCTACAGCTGAGAACTAATCACAATTCGCTTGTACATGCGGAATCTGCATGTAAAGCGAAAAAATTGGGCAGTCTACCTATATGAACGTGAAGTATTGATTTATTCCATCTTTGTTAGGCTAATGTAAGGATAGCAAAAAGCGTGGTCCCTGCCACAGAAACTGGCATTATGCAAATATAGATATTTGATTAGCTTTAACGGATATGTGAGTATTTCGGCGGTAAATCTGTTTGGTTTGGTATTGGACAGAAGGTTCATTAGCTTGTAAACCTACAGCTAATTTGTCTGTGGTTTTACATGGACAGGAAGATATTGCATATCAGCTTCAAATCATTGACCAATTGTGCATAGAATGCATGCACTTACCTAAAAATCCAGGTATGGCTCCGAGAGGCATGACGAACAAGCTAACCAACAGATCAGCAATAGCCAAAGACAGCAGAAAGTAATTGGTAACGTTTTGCAGTCTTCTATCCAATAAAACTGCAAGACAGACGAGGATGTTTCCGAGACCCCCTGCGATGATGAAAACCACTACGAAGAGGAAGCTCCAGTCGTACCTGGCTACCGACCAGATGTTGGTAGAGGAGGAAGTACCGTTGCAAGGCCAGAGTGGATTGATGGAGTCATTCAAGGCCACGCACTTCAAGCTGGATGACTGAAATTAATGAAAAATATTTGGAGATATACAGGGTTTTATATAATTTATTCTAATTATATTCTTATTATTTTATTTTCGGACGATTTTCGAAATACCGCTTCGTTTCGTAGAAACAGAAACTCTTGGAATTTTCGCAGCACAGTAACTGGTTAAGGCATTACATAATGACGGCATTGGAAATCAAATCATTCGTTCAGATTGCCAGGTACGGACTACCAATAATGATATTCTCGAAAAGATTAATCGTTTATCTGAAATCTCTGTTTAATCCATCAGCGAGCTGAGAAACCGCACGGGCATCACGTATCTTGAAAAGTGACATTTTGCCGATTTTTTTACATAATGCTGTTTTTTGACATTATGTAGGTTATTCTACAAGATGTTAACTTAGCACTTAGTTGTACGTGTTGCCTATACGTCATGAGGCTTGTTATCAATCTTAGGTTGTATATGTTGATGATAATTACATTGGGTTCTTGTCTCAAATACACTTAGTTGAAATTCAAAGCTAGAAATTAGTTGCGCATCTACTTTTTCTTATCCATTCTGGAAATTACATATACAAATTTGCTGAATTTCAAAAATGAGAGAGATAAGAAATAATTATATTCACTGTACACTGTCGAATTACAAGCCATATACATGCTAACAGTAATTACATACAACGCTTAGTTGAGTGATTCCTACATAGATAGACGTTCACAACGATCCTAGTGAGCAAACCTGGAATGACTGCGCCCTGAAAACTACCTAGTCTGCAAGTTGACAACTTATAGGTTTTTTTTGACGTTTTATTGGTTTTCTACATGATACCCTTGCCGATCATGTATAGATCATACAAAGAAAGACAAGTAATTTTTTGGAAACTTAGATGAAAAATAAAGAACAATCGTGGGTATGTCCGCAATAAAGGAGCAGAAATAGAAGGATTGTGTAACCTGAAGGAAAACAAGTATGGAAAGAGAAATACAACTAGCTGCCACTAACAAGAGCCAGCAGGCACATTATTTGTAGCTTCGGTCAGAAGACCTCGTGTTTATGAGGTATCAACCAACGTTCTATCTGGATACGGGAGTAGCCTTGTTTTCCCTTAGCTTACATAAACATTAAGAAGCAAATTATTTGACATAAATGGTTGGAGTATAATTGAACATTTTTTTTCTGAATATCGGCATGTTATATAATTGTTGTAGTTGTTTAAAAGAATGTAATTGTAGCAATCATGCTAAATAAATCTTAAACAAATAAACAAAAGGTTTTGCAATAAGAACGGATCGATGCAAATTCGGATGGAAGTTAGTTGTGTAGTACCTTTATAATAAATTACACATACTGAAACATACTATATAACAACGAGGAATATCATGTATCAGATCAATAATGGCATTTTCAAATAAAGTATATATTTTAACACTACCATCACTTTATATCACTGCATTCGATATTACAAGATTTAAATCTCTTCATTGTATAACACTCATTTTACAAATACCTTAAAGTATACAGTAGCCTGGTGTCAAACTGGCAAACAAAAATGTGGCAAAGTTTGTTAGTTGTGTTTTCATTCTGTTAGCTTTAAAAGCCGTTTTTAACACTTCCAATTATAAATACTCAAGAAGCTATACCAAATATTATTATATTCAAATACTCATATCTAATTTGCTCGAATACATTACAGTATTAGGTTTAGGAAAACGAAATATAACGTTATCAATTTCTCTAAGTGCAAGATGGATATATTAAGTTTAGTTTAAAAAATATACTATGTATTTTTAATATGAAAACGTGAAAGCACGGCCATTTTGTGACGTCAGACAAATTATAAACAAAAAAACATCATCCGTGTGTTATTTCTAAAAAACTCCCAATCAACCTAAAAAGTTATCATTTTCTCGTTGTATTGAAAAAAACAATCATGAACGTTGGATTCGTAAAAGCATAAAGTACAAATTTGCCAAAAATTGACACATTGATGGTTGGTAATTTGTTTGCCTTAAACCCAGATCTCTACTCTGCTGAGCTGAGGAACCTCAAGACTTCTATGTAAGTACAGTGCATCTGATATAACGATAGACATAAAAAGCTGCACTTACTTTCCAGAAGTCATTCAAAACTAAGCACATGCGTCGTAACCCCGAATAAATTTATCTTAGATTGTATGTCTTTTTAAACATCTGCATGGCAATCGTAGGGTGATGATTCCGTCGGTAACGTCCAACGTAAACTAGTCGATAAAATCTGCACAGTAAAATTTAGCTAGCAGTGTTGCGTATAGCTTTATTGATGTGTTTCTCTACTACTTTTTCATGCAAGCCAGTAGAAGTCTTGCTTGTATGTTTAAAAGTTATAGAGGTTGTGCTGCTGTCAGCTGCTGTTTAAAAACTGCATGACATCAGAGCACATTAATATATGGGCCAGGCATGGCAGACAGCGTTTTTGCATGTCTTGTAGGTCTTAAAAGATATAAAATAGTTTCGATTATTTTGGTCTAATTAACTATTAGTATTAACTATTTAAGACCTACTTAAAAGAAGTGTCAACTCAGATATCTCAAGCGATATTATTATTTACCTACGGTTTCTTGTTTTTCTTTACCCATGGAAAAAACTACTTCGCAGTGGGGCACTCCGATTTACAGAGGTGATTTTTCCAGTCAGTAGTGAAAAAAGAAATAACTTACATTGAGCAATTCCGTGATGTTCCTTATAACCAGGTTGAGGACAAATTCCCCAGCCGATGTTGCATTTGTAGTGCAGCAGTTGTAAGAAGCTCGGTCGTTGTTCAAGGAGCAAAAGTAGCTACCATTCGAGCAGGAGAGAGCAAAGTAGGCTGTAGGTTGGTGGTGCAGAAGATGACAAGAGACGTCACAATCAGTCAACGAAGATGCGTTTCCATCCGCTGGATACGCCGCCAGCGATGGCATACTTTACGTCATCTCCATCTCAAGCCTGAAAAAAAAAACAACATAACGTTAAATAATAGATACCTGAATGTAACAACTAATTTTATGAGGAAAGCAAAATATCAAAACATCTATCGTTCACTTTTAGACAATACCTGGAGAGATCTATTTTAGCGTTATAGTCACTCTCAGGCAGAAAAGCTATACACTCTTGCACTATCGGCCTTTCCTTCACGAAGTGTGAGATTCTCGAGAAGTGGAATACTCACTAAAACTCACAATCCCACCACGGTAATTCTAGCAGCATTTTGTCATTGTGGATCTTATTCTCATCATCGGACATATAAATGAGCACCCAGTACATGTACAACCCATTATTGGTTCTTCGGTCTGTTATTATCATACTGCTAAGTATCAACCGTCTCATTATTGGTTGAATGTCAAGTCATTTGCCCTGCTCTGTTGCAAGACGCGTAGCTCACGAACTGTGTCTTTCCTACCGTCTTCAGGTAGCTGTCAAAGCAACCATGCCCTGTGAGGAACTGTGCAGTATAGTAATCTATTAGCACCGCACCATTGGCAAGCAGAGTTTCAACATCTAGGATCAGCCTTTTAGTTCATTCACCGTGGACAATTACATCCGATCTCTCAACACAGACATCACGATTTTGGGTATTGCTTCAACCAGTGCCTTCTCGATCTCGTTTGGTATTTTGTCTACTCCTGATGCTTTACATATTTTCAGGTGCGATGCAAGTTCTTCCAGCTCACTCAGGACTAACTCTGGTAGGTCCAAGGTTTCTTCAAGTTCACATTCGGTAAGTCAGTACTTTGGAAACAATACCTCTGCAATTTCAATTTGTTGTTTGGTATTCAGGTAAGGTCTGCCTGAAAGTCGTAGCTTTTTTATAACTACATTGTAGACTTGGCCCAGAACATCGTTTTCCTGTGTTTATAGTTACTCAAGTATCAGAGCCTTATTCCTTATTACATTTGTTCTATATTACTTTCTGCTTTCCGTTCTTTTTTACGCCTGATAGTTAGGCATTATTTTCTTTTTGTGCTATTCAATTATTCCGCCCATACCTTGCTCTCTTCACACTACCTAACTTGTGCACCACACCATTCAATTTTGTCTCAATTATTGTCCACCTGCGGATCTGGTGTGACTGTGATGTTGGCTAGGTGTCATTTCAAATGCAATATGCTCATGATGATGCATATGATGAAAGTGCAAGTTGGACCGTTGGACCTTTAAATTTGCTTATCTTATCATGGTTTTGTGTGCACTTTCACAAAAAGTTTCCTCTCGCGGATGATCGCCTCCCCCTGACAGAAATTCCTGCGGACGCCCATGTAGGGTGTTCCTTGTTTTAGAGGTTACAGGATTAAACAATATTGTTGTTCTTCAAAAATAATTGTTACAAAGTTTGTGTAACGTGTTCGAGTCAATATATTTTACCTCAAAGCTTTGCCAAATACATAAGGCGTGCGGAGAACACAAAAATGTTCTAATATACCAAAGATCATTTCTGTACCTCAGAGGTAAACTATTTTAAGTCAGTGTTTGCCGTAAATAGGTTATGTAAGTTCAGACACGCAGTGTCTCCTAGCCATACTATGTTAAGTGTTCTTGATAAACTACATTATGAACTTGACATATTCAGATGTTGCAGAATGACTTAGCATATGGTGCTTATCAATGTGAAAGGGGAATTGAGATAGTGTTCTTGTTTAGTTTAGCTCATTTGGTATATTCCATATTTTTTTTGTCAATGGCAAAGTATATTGAGTGGCTTTGAAAAAAAAACTAAATAACTTTATCAATGAACTAAAGAAAAATTCATGAACCTCAGGCATAAAATTTAAACGTCATCCATAACATAACCACCGGACATAAAAATAACCATGTTTCAGCTTAAATTCACAGATACAAAATGATAAACATCAGTGTAAATGTGTCCAAATGTAGGATCAGTGGAGGATTTATCTCAGTTGCCTTGAGATTTCAATTTAAAAAATCTTGACGTATTTTTTATTATTGTTGAAATATGCATCAAATACGGAGCGCGTAAAAATTGCATCACAAATGTGTACGGTAATCACAGTTTAAAAGCTTGCCATATATACCTTTATATGGAATTCAGAATGTGTCAGTAAACAAGGTTGTGGGTATGCCTTTACCTTACAAAGGGACAGTGTTACATTGCAAATATTTTTCGTTTATGTAAATAAAATAGTGGACAGTTGCTTTGTAACATGAAAATTTTACCCAAATTCAAATGTCGATATTTCCATGAACGGAAAGAGATATCGAGTTGCGGTATACGGGAGATTCTTGGCCAACTCTATGCGAACACATACAGGTATATGTTTTCATTTAACCACTTATACAGGGTAAGCAAAGAAAGTCTGGTTTCCTTAGCAGAGTTTGGGGTTATATCAGATTCTCAATTTTTGGTCTTGGACATTTTTTTATGCATCTTTGTGATCTTTGGACTATCCTAAAGATAGTTGTTTCTCAAATTTTTTGAAAGTTGGCTATAACTCAATTTATAGAATTTAAAAGTTTGGGGTTATATCAGATTCTCAATTTTTGGTCTTGGACATTTTTTTATGCATCTTTGTGATCTTTGGACTATCCTAAAGATAGTTGTTTCTCAAATTTTTTGAAAGTTGGCTATAACTCAATTTATAGAATTTAAAAGAAGTGTTACAAAAGGGACTTTTGGGGGTTTCTCTTGAGAATGGGTATTTTTTGTCATACTGTTGCATAACAAGTGGAATTTCTTGCGCCCGAGAAAAGTTTGAAGTACTCATTGAGTTACTACCTCCAGTGGAGTGCAGAAAAAAATTTGCTACTTTGACATCATGTAATTTAGACCGAATTATTTGTAAATTTTACTATGCAATTAAACAGCTTAATGGACAAAGCTAAGTTACTACTCGTAATATAGGGAAGTATTCCAGGGCGTAACATTTTTTGTTTTTTTTGAATTTTCTATCTTTCTCATTCAGCATTGGCGTACGCGTCTTCATTGGAGATCGACTCTATTAACTTTTTAAACAAGACCAAAGAATTTATTGATTAACATTAACAATATATAACATTTTAGAAAACAAAGCAGTTAAATACCTAAAATATTCATTTATGAAAAAAACGAACTTTTTACAGCAACAGTTATTTTAAACAATACTGTCAGTACCTTGTAGGGCCATCCCGCACATCGATCACAACCTGGCATCTTCGTGATATCCTTGCTAGAAGGTTATTAATAAAATCTCGGGATGCGTTTCCCAACTCTCCCTGAATGACCTCTACAGCTCTTTCATTGTTTGAGGAGCATTTTCGTTTAGGTCTGGAGACTTTGATGACCGATATGTAACATTTTTTTCTCTCCAAAAAGTTTATAACCGTACTAGCTCTGTGCGGCCTGGCGTTATCATCGATGGATACAAAATCTTTCCCAAAATCGTGTGCAAAAGGTATACAATATTGTTAAAGATGTTGTCCCTATAAACTGCAGCATTGACAGTCCTGTTTGAAATAAAAAGTTCGGTTTTACCATTGTGCATAGCCCTAACCCGAATAGTAATGCGGCCCCAACTAAACGCCTCTTTGGAGCCATGTTTTCTTCATCATATCGTTCCCCAGCTTGCCTCCAAACATAGACCCCACCATTAGAGTGGCAAAAGCGTCATTCATCGGAAAACATGCAATTTTGCCAATGCTGATGCCAATTTGACCTGCTCCTGTGCCCATTGGTACCTGGCGACTCTATGATCGTTCAAGAGTCGGGTACACATACCTTAACAAATTAGAATTTAAAGTTCTTCTCACACTACGATTGGATGCTATTATTCCACTATGTCGTCGTAAGTTTTCATTCAAGGTTCTGGATGATAGGGTCCTCCTTCGCCTTACTTCCTGCAATAAATGTCTTTCGACACTACCTTTTTTTTTTTGGAACACCTTCCCGATGCAAGTAGGAAGTTTCCCCGGTATCCTGATATCTACGCCTTACACGGAATATTGAGGACCGGACCGATTAGCATTATAAATTAAAGCTAAATCATTCGCTAAACGGTTCTTCTCCCAATAATCTCATACAATTGTATCGTTATTTTTGAAAAAGACAAAACATTTTTGAGAAATTAGAATTATACTCTCCAGTCTACAGTCAATATTATTGTTACTTAGCAATTGCATCCTTGAGGTGTAGGTACTTGGATTGAACTGGAGAAACGTCCTATTTGCATGGAGAGGGTAATTAAAAAAAATACGAGGTCGAGCCGAAACACATTTATTACAGGAAAATAAAAATTCGATGACTTAAATTATAGCCAGTTTTCGAAAAATTTGAGATATCACTTTTTTAGGATAGTCCAAAGATGAAAAAATGCATAGAAAAATTTCCAAGATCAAAAATTGAAAATCTGACAGCCCCAAACTTTGCTAAAAACATGACTTCCTTTGCTCACACTGTATAAGTGGATAAATGAATCAATTATACCAATCGAACAGTGTACGCCCCAACTAACAATTATCACTCCTATAAGGCCCGTATCGTCAGTCGTCCCTACAATTGTAGGGCGCGTTTATGGCCTCCTTGATTGTCATACTTCTCTTTCTCTCCTTCAAAAATTACTAGATTACACTTGCCCAGTGTCAGCGCCAGCGCTCTCCTATTGTGAAGATATGTTTTCTTTTTAAATTGTAGGAAATTTCAGGCTGATAAAAGATGATATAACTCGAAAGCAAGCACAATTTCATGCAAATAGATGTTTGTGACATAACCGCAAAATAGAGTTCTGACACGGAGAAGTAGAAAACTATGACAATCAAGGAGGCCATAAAGGCGCCCTACAATTGTAGGGACGACTGACGATACGGGCCTTAGAGTTGGAAGAATGATTATTACAGTATTCCTTACACATCATTGTATACTGTAAGAACATTGGCAAAACCCTCTTAGAACAGCTATACAAGCGAAATGGGCACACCTAATAGGACACTTCAGTCATTTAAGAGGTTGTATAAGGGCTGA